GGACTTGATTTAGAAATGGAAAGCAGACCTCAAGAAGCAGGAGAAAATGGCCCATTCCTGCTGCCATAGTAACAAAGATGGGTGGAGGGAGGGGAGTCAGGAGGAGCGTCCGAGGCTGGAGGCAATTACCTACAGTCTGCATCTTGTCTCCAAAGACCCCAGAGCTCCTGCCAATGGTTTTCACCCACTCCTGTCTGGCTGGAGGGGGCAGGGCGGCTCTGAGCACCTCCCCCCAGGCCAGCCTGCGAAGGTCCAGCCCTATCCTGGGCCATGCGGCCGTCCAGCTCTGCCCCCACCGTGCCAGCCCCTCCCTCCCGGCAGGGGAACCCCATCCACATCTGCTGACCTGGGGGCAAGTGCCGGGGATGTTCCTGCTTCCCGGGATCCCCCACCGCAGGAACGGCTCCATGTCCATCCCAGGGCTGATGCTCGCATCCAGGGCCGCGTCAGTGGACGGGCCTCCTGCAGCCCCCATGGGGACTGGAGGGAAGCTCCTTTCTACAGGGAAATCCACACACTCTGATCAGGTCACAAAACCAGAGTCAGTCATCCACCAGCCAGAGCACGGGCACCCAGGTCCCCAGGCCCCAAGGAAGGCCCGGCTTCCAGGAAGGGGGGGTGGTCAGCTCTGTGAAGAACAGTGACCTCAGGGTCGAGCCGGGGACCCCGCCAGGACGGGTCAGGGACGGCATCTGAAGGTGAGGTGGGGTCAGCCAGGGTGTGCAAGGCTCCAGCACGCAGACACGCAGCACCCGGACTGAGAGGCGGGCGGAGCTGGCACCTCGTGGACAGAGCTCGTCGGCCAGGCCCACGGCTGCACACGCCCACCGGGGAGCAGGGTCCGGGCAGGGGGTGTGCAGGCGCGGGGGTCTCTCCACTCTGCTGGGCAGGCAGGAACCGGCGCCAGCACTTGGGGTGACTGTCAGGCCTCTCTGCTACCCCGACGCACACACGCACTTTGTGGCAGGTACGCAGAGGCCTAAGCTATAGAGCTGCTTCCCTGTGGCTCAGACGGTAAAGCGCCTGCCTGCGACGCAGGAGATCCAGATTCCAGACCTAAGAACACACCCAAATAAGGGCTGGCCAGAGAGGCATAGTACAAAAGATGGGCCCCTCAAACACACATGCAAACCAAGAGGAATCTTTAAAAGAAGAAGAAAAGGAAATCAGAGGAGAGCTGGCAGCTTTGGGGCTCCAGCAGGACTCGGCGTCAGGGCGTCCCCAGGCCCCCCTGTGAGTCAGAGCATCCGAGAGGTGCCCTGGCGCTGAGCCCTGGTCGCCTGAGCCCCTGGACATCCAGGTCTTGGTGACAGACACTGCATCTCTACCAGGAGCTCACAACTGAAGACAGGGAACTGCCCCAAGGCCAGGGGCATGGCGCCCCCGCCAGCAGGCAGGGGAGGCAGTGGGAGACCCTGTGTCCACGCGGGCCCTGGGCGACCCTCCCCAGGGCGGCGCAGGCTGAGCGCCCTCGTGGATCCAGCCCTGCCGTGGGGCTGGGGGCCAAGCAGGGCTGCTGCAGAGGCTCCCAAGGGCACCCCCACCCAGGCCGGGCCAGGTCCATGTCCCAGCAGGAGGGGCGGAGCCCGAGGCCTGGGCGCGGGAGGACAGAGGTGCCTGGTCCCGGGTCACATGATCATGTGACGTGGCCTTGAGGAGGCAGCATCCCCCTGGAGAGGAGGGAGGTCAGGAGTAGGGGCGGCAGAATGCGTCCCCCAGCTCTCCTGAGAACAACCGCAGCGGGAAAGGTGGGGTCCACCTCTGCTGGGCTGGCTCTGGCCTGGCCACCCCATCTTTAAAGTTCAAAACTCCAGGTCCCTGGGCAGTTCTTACAGCCATCTGTGCAGCATCGGGCGGCCAACACGGGGGACAGGGCCGCCTCCCAGGCTGGGGTCGGGGTCCCGGGACACAGCGGGGCAGGGGCACTTCCCCGCCGCGGGTGGAGAAAGCCGCATCCGGCCTGAGGGCCGTCCTCCTCCAGCCCGGCTCTTCCTGGCTTGTCCTTTAGCTTCAGGGACAGGACTGACCTCCCCGAGATGCCCGGATGGCATGGTGCCCGCGGCCCTGTCCTGCCCCGGCCGAGTGCTCTCCCAGCTCGCCGGGACCACGGCAGGCGGCGGGGACGCGCACGGCAGCAAATGCAGATGTCAGGCGGCACGCAGCTAATTACCGGCAATGTGCAGGAGCAAATTGAGAAATGATGGATTTAATAAATCCCTACATTTTTTGTTTACAACAACAGCAATTTGGGTGCGGGGCAGGGGGCGGGGGGACGTGCTTGGCATGCAGAGTCGCACCTGCCTCCCTGCCTCCCCGCCGCCTGGCGCCTTGGGGCGAGCAGACGGGGGGCAAATGGATAATTGCTTCCTTCTCCCCGTGTGTGCGGCCGTGGGGACCATTTTAAAGAGGAGGCCGTGGCGAATCCTGTTTAACCTCCGACGGCCGTGCAGCGCTGAGGGAGGCCACTCGGTACATAAGAAACCACCAGTGTCCAGCCCCCCCAGAGTCTCCTGGGGCCCAGCTCTGTCCAAGGAAGAAGCTGAGTCCCTTTAAGGATGTGCGGGGAGACCCCTCGTGTGTTACTGCTCTGAGCGCTGAACGAGGAGGACCACACGTCTGGGAAGACCCCCTCCAGCCCGACCCCTCTCTCCGTCCAACCGTGTGATGCTGGACACGGATGTGAAAAGTCTCCCACGCGTGCTGCTGAGCCTCCAGCTGGGATGTGGGGAGAGGACCCAGAGGGCAACTTCTGCCGAGGAGCCGCCTGGCTGGCCAGGGAGAAAGTGCACAGAGGACTGTCCCCTGAGCCTCCCGAGGCGGGGAGTCAGGACCCCCACCTGCACCGCTGGGAGCCCCGCACGCCCCAGGGCCGGCTGTGATCCGGGCCCTTCCCCCCAGGCTCCCCCTCGCTGGCTCCCACCCAAGCTCCTGGTGTCAGGTCTGGATGTCTGGGCCATCCGTGTGACCTCTTGGTCTCGGGGGACTTTGCATGTGTCCGCCTCTACCTCCGGCCCCCGACCCACTTCCCCTGGGGGCACACAGAACCCCCCCACAGCCTGCCGGGTACAGACACTGCTTCACCCACAGGTGGTCCTTCTGTGCCGCCCGAGGGACCCGCAATCCCACCTCCAGCCTGTGCGGCAGGGGTGGAGCCCGGGAGCCCACACTTCCCCTCGTCCCCTCCCCCTGCGGGGGGCGAGAGCCGGCAGGACCGGTTAGCATTCGGGGCGCAGGCCCCTGCTGACAGCAGTAGCTCAGTGCAATTTGCAGCTTTATTTCCTGTTACAAACGGCGGAGAGGATGAACTGGGCTGCAGAGTCCCGCCAGGGATGCCACGCTGCAGGGGGGCCTTGCACGTCTCCCTGCTGAGCCCCGGTCCTGAGCAGCGGCCCCCAGTCCTGGGCCCGCGGGGGGCCTGGCTCCCCAGCACCGTCACCCACCGCGCCCAGCCCGGGGCTCAGGGAACCTTTCTAGGACAACGAGGCACACGGCCTGTGCCACCTCCATCCAGCCGTTCTTCTCTGACCCTCCCGGGTAGGGACTCCTGCCCCCGCATTTAGAGACAAGGACACCCCGGAGTGTGAGGCTGGAAGCAGAGACCCAGACGGGGAGGCCGCGTCTGGGATGTAACCGTGGTGACGGTGGGGGCCTCTGGTGCCCTGTCTTTCCGCCGGCCCCAGGCCTGCACACAGTGGGTCAGCAGCAGCTGCTTGTCACAGTCCAGGATCAATACACAGTCACAGATCAATACAGAGACATTTAACCCTGGGCTTCCCAGGTGGCGCTGGCTGGAAAGAATCCACCTGCCAATGCAGGAGACATAAGAGGTACAGATTCCATCCCTGGGTCAGGAGGATCCCCTGGAGGAGGAAACGGCAGCCCTCTCCCATGGACGGAGGAGCCGGGCAGGCTGCAAGCCATGCGGTCATAGACTCGGACACGGCAGGAGCGACTGAGCCCTGTCAACCCTGAAACGTGAGACCAGGGCTTCCTGTGGGTCTCCTGGGAGCCAGGCATGGGGCACTGGGGGGAACGGTGGGGAGTGGGGACAAGCCACGCGGTGCCGCCCTGGTGGGGGCGGGAGGGGACCAGGGACTCAGCCAGATCTGCAGTCAGACGGGACCGTGGGGGGCCTCAGGGAGTGTCAGCACGTCCTCTGGCGGAGGAGGCTTTGGCGTGGAACTAGGGAGCCGGGGGGTGCGGGGAGCAGGTCTGAAAGGCCCCAGGGTGGGGGAGGAGAGGGCGGAGGGCAGCCTGGAGGAGGAGGAGCCTGGGGGCCTGCAGACTCTTAGGGCCCGACGCTGAGCCCCACTGGTGTGATTCGGCCTGGACCCCACATCCTGGGGGCACAGAGGGCCATCGGCCGCCCGAGGGGACATGGGGCAGAGAGCAGCAGGGAGTAATGGGGCAACCCAGCGCAGCCGGCTTCCTCCCCAGCTCTCTGCACACGTCCTGCGGGGGCAGCTGGGGGGCTGGGCGGGACACGGGCTCCCTGGACTCTCCTCCCCGGTCCAGCTCTGGCTTGTCACCCCAGGGGCCGCCGGCCTGGGAGGCTGCTCCCGAGCTCCGTGGCCTCACCCCCCGAGGGCTCTGCCCACATGCCCGCTGCTGTCCAGGTGAAGCTGACCATGTGCTGCCAGCCCCCGAGCCCTCCTCTCTCAGGGAGGGTCAGGTCGTGGGGGAGGCCACTGGGGTACAGGGTACTCGGGAGTGGGCGGCTGGGCCCTGATCCCGACCCCAGGAGGACTGGTTCCCAAGTGCAGTGCCCAGTACAGCCTGGAACCTGGAGCAGGGACCAGGCCAGGGACACAGGCGGTGGGCCCATGGCTCATGGGGCAGCCTCCGCCTCCTGCCCTTGGTGTCTGCTCTCACAGATCTGGAAACTGTGGTCGAAACCTGGGGCAAGGAAGGGTCACAGGCCCCGAGAGGCCGACCCCAGGCTGAGCTCCTCGGCCGAGCCCCCCAAAGGCCCTCACACCCCCACCCACCCGTGCCGTCAGGAGCAGAGCCATCCATCTGAGTTTTAATTTGGAAATTAGACAGTGCTCACATTCCATTATGTGGCGGAATGAGTCGCCTAAGCCGGGGAGCAGGGTGAGCTATGGCTTCATTAATCAGGGGAGACAGCAGTGGGGGCCGGAAGGCCAGAAAGGTCACCGGAGGGGTGGCTGCAGGCCGCTGCAGAGCCTGGTACCAGCTGACGCTCGCTGAGGTGTGGGCTTCTGCCCCCGGAAACGCCCGTCTCACCTGCTTCCAGCTGTCTGGCCCCTGGGCACCGAGGGACCTCTGCCTCCTGGGTGTTCCCCGAGCCCAGGCTCCCCCAGAAGGGGCAGGCAGGTCCCAGCAGAGGAGAGGCTGCCCTGGACCTGGGCGAGGTGCAGGGTCTCAGGCTCAGCGGTCATCTCCTCCCCCAGCTACTGCCAGGACGAATCTGCAGGTGGAGGCCACGTGGGGCCGCACTGGGGACAGAAGGGAGACTCAGGCTCAGAGGGGCAGGTGGCCTCTCTGGAGGAGGCGGCCCAGAGGAGACAGGCAGCCTCTGAAGTGGCTCAGAGGAGTCCTTCTGTGGGCCACCGTAATTAACTGGCAGCCCCAGGAAGCTCACCCCTGGCCCCCGAGGACTGCTGTCCACATGCTGACTGTCCTAGTGAAGAGCCCCCACACGGGTCAGGCCAGCCTGAGACTCAGTTGCTGAGCCCAGACAGGCAGGCTCCCCCCAAAATCAAGCCCGTGTAGGGAGGGAGAGGCCGCCAGCAGGGACCACGGCCTGGTCCTCACCAGCCGCCTCGGGTCACGAGCCCATGTGTAACCAAACGCCGGGGTAAGGTCCCCCGCCAAAGCTGCGTGGCTGAGCGTGGAGTGGCTCAGAGGAGTCCTTCTGTCCACAGGGGTCCCTGTGTCTCCTGGGAGCACCAACACCCACCTGCTTCAGGGGCCAAGGGCTGCTCTTCTCTTTCACGGCAACTCTCATTTCTCCTTTAAAACTGATGCAAGGCTCTGTGTGACTGGAGGAAGAGCTCCGGAGATGATGGTGGAGACGGTGCACAGTGCCGTGAGCAGACTCAGTGCCCGCAGACTGGACGCCTCGGGGCTCAAGTGCAAGCGCTCAGTCCTGCGTCCTCTATCTTGATAAGAGATGCGTCGAAGTCATGTATGCTTGAGGCCAAACAGCGAACGGCTGACAGGGCCGTGTAACTCGGCCGCCCCCGCCCCCAGGCAAGTTCTGCGTCGCGTGGGGGCCCCGCGCCTCTCTCGGGGCTCTTTGTCAATAAAGCTTTATTCGCAGCCTCATTTCTCCTCCGCCGACTGCTTTCAGTGACACTGCTGCCAAGTCAAGGGTCTAGATGTAGACATGGGGCACTCTGGCCTCAGGAGCCCCCTGGCCGGGCCCTCCTGTCTTGACAGGTGCTGACCGGGGAGCAGGCACCGAGCCCTGAGCCCCGCTGTGGGCTCCAGGGGAGGGGGCTGTGTCTGCATGCCCACCGTCCCCCTGGCAGCTCTGCCCCCGCGCGGGTGGTTTTGCATCCCCGTGACCTTACGTCCCAGGGCCTGGCGGGTTTCTCTCCATGGGTCCCAGGGAGACTCAGCCCTCAAGGCCTCCCCCGGGGGAGGGCCACTCGCTGCCCACGAGCCTCGAGTCAGCCGGCCAGTGGCCTCAGCTCCACCTTCAGGGCCTCGCCCCTGCACCCTGGACCTGAGTGCAGCCCTCGGCCCTGACAGGAGTGGGGGGCGTTTGCGGGGGGAGGGAGGCTGCTCATCCTGAGGCTTTAACCCCGAGCGAGCTCAGCTCAGCGGCCCCAGGGTGAGCCCAGGCACAAGCCAGGAGCCCGGGGTCAGGGGGTACGCAGACGGCAGAGGGGGGGTCGTCCTCTGCCCCCAGCCCCACCCTGACCACCAGCCTCAGATTCCGGGTGCTAGGACAGTGGCTCTGATCAGGGGGCCAGGCCCAGAGTGGGGCCCCCAGCATCCAGGAGGAGTCTGCCTGCAAAGGGGACGCGGGCCCCGCAGGGGAGCCCCAGAGCCAAGGCACGCCTGGCCCCGGGACCGCCAGGCTCCCCGCCCTGGGATGGACCCCAGGGATCCCCTTTGCTGGATGCCAGGAAGGGGGTGGGCTCAGCATTGGGGTCGGGGGCTCAGGAGACACTCAGGTGGACATCACCCTCACTGACCCCGCCCACTCACTGCCCCCAGGGAACCCTGTGGCCCAGAAGGACCTCAGGGAGCAGGATCCCGCGCCCCCCAGGAAGGCAGGAGGGGCCACAGCAAGCTCACCATCCTCAGCCATTTCCCCCTCCCTCTTCTTTGCCCTCTGCAGAACCCGTGGGCAGCGCCCCCAGGGGGCACCTCCTGAGGGGGCTTGCTTCTCGGGAGGCGTCTGCCGTGGGGCAGGGAGCAGCTCAGGGCTAAAGGGACACGTGTCACCAGGATTTAGCTGGTGGGAAGCTCCAGCGAGGGCTGGGGTCACTGTGGGGAGTCTTGGCAGCCTGTGGAAGCAGGAGCCCCAGGTGCTTTCTGGCGGGGGGAGGGTCCACGGACATGAGGTGCTCAGGACCCCACTAAGGTCATAGTGGGGGGCAGAGTGGAGCACCCTGCCTCTCGGATGCCCCTGGACAGAGCCCGAGATTCCCCTGCACTCAGAGACTCGCAGGCCAAGGCAGAAGACGTCATCCTCAATTATCCCGTGAAACGAGGCCAGAGGCACCTCTCAACTCAACACCCCCATTAGCCGATAATTCAGCACAGATTCTCATCTAATGTGACTATATTTTATACAAATTATTTCGGACAAGAATTCAGTCCCTAATAACATTGATCTTCATAAAATTGTCGCCAAGCATCTTGTCTTGGGCCCCGCACTTCAGTGGAGGCTGCAAATCAAAGAGGGAGACAGACTTCCGATGACCTTGTGTATGGAGCCAGGGGCGCCCCCCCCACCCCGGGTCGTCGGCGGGGCCCCCGCAAGGAGCCGCGTCCAGCGACACCACTCAGTCTGTGTCGCCTGGTGGGGCAGCGGGGCCCTCAGGGCAACTGAGAACCCTGTACACCGATGTCTAGCTCCCAGGACACGTCGGGGACAGACCGACGGGCTTCTCAAAGGGCCAGTGCACGTGTGAGTGTGGCTGACGGGCACCCGTGGGCATTTGACGGGAGATTTATCGCCGGACACTGCGACGCGGGTCAGCCAGTGCCCTAATACATTATCAGGCTTGTTGAAATATCAATTTTGCACATGGCTTCACACGGCTGCCTGCAGCCCTGCTCAGGCCTATTACTTAATTCTTTTGTCATTAAGAAATCCAATCTCTGATTCCAGTGGAATTGAGTGGGTGGGGGGAGGCGCAGGCTAATAGGGCCCAACTCTCTGCTAACTGTGGTTCTTACAGCCCCAAGGGGAGCGCGGGGTAGTCTAGGGGGTCCCAGGGCAGCTACACCACAGGAGCAGAGTCAGGCAGATGTGGGGGCTAGACGGCCGCCCTCCCTCTGGCTGTGACTGACCACCTGTCCAAACCCCAGGGGAGAACCAGCAGGGCAGGGTCGATGTCCAGGCACCTCTGGGGAGGCCCCTCCCTCCAAGATTCTCGGCCATGATGCCCTGCAAGGGCCAAGAGCAGCTCTGACCATGGCGGGGCACCCTGCTGCCCTTTCCACTTGGCCAGGCGTGTCCCCACACCCTCCGCAGCAGCAGCACCGAGGCCGAGGTCACCCACGGCCCTCTCCCATGTCCAGGATGCCCTTGGAGTGATGGATGACTCTGTAAAGCTCCGTCCTCCTCCTCCTCCAGGGAGGTCTGTTGACAAGTTTTCTATATCACAAGCCCCTTTGTAATTGAGGACATTAATTTATTTCTCCGTCCTGTTGGCTCCATGCTAAGCAGGTCCCAGTCCTCACCCTTCCAAGTTTGTGTTTGCCAACCATTAATCATCTCCATCTCCCGCGGGCCCTTTCCAATAAAAGGATTCGTTTGGTGCACCTGGAGGAAGGTGTCCACTGTCTCACCAACGTCTATTCACAGACAAACGAAACAAGGGCAGATTTTTTAAAGAATCATTCCCAGCCTAGATGACCTTAAACAACTAATTTTCCCTGCTATCCAGCATGTGGCGCCCACTGTGTCCCTGCACGGGCGGCCGTGGCAGCATCTCACACCCAGCCCTTTGTTCCCAGCTGCTGCTTAGAGCAGTCTGGCCTGCGTCCAAACCCAGGTACCTGCTTCGGCTCCAACTTAAAGTTCCCATTTGCACTGTGGGTAGTTTTTGAGTAAATGAATGCAAGCTGAGGAGGCGGCTGGCTGGTGAGCTGGCTCACGGCTGGCCGGCATCCCCACCCCATCCCTGGGAAGCCAGCCCTTCATCACTTGGATCTCAATGAAGCCTGAGGCTCCAGCTGCCCCCACTGTGCCCACAGCCTGGACAAGCTGCTTCTTCCCAAGTGAGACACACCCTCAGGTCTTCAGCATCACCCAGCGGCACCAGGAGAGGGGCCCCAATGCAAAGTGCTTGGCAGGCAGTGAAGACAGCAAAGTGCGCTGGGTCCTCACCCTCAGGATCCAGAAGGCAGGCAGGCCGTGCCCAGGGTGCCCAAGACCTCTGTCTGTTCACAGAATCAAAAGTTCCAGGAAAAGTCACGAAAAAGAATCTGCTTACTGAGAGGTTTTTTTTTTTATCAATTGTTGTTTCTAAGGCCAAAAGAGTAGGAGAGATCAATTGAAACCCATTTAACTTGGCTCACGACAAAACATACCAATGTATGGAAGGTCAGTATAGGGAAGGTGGGCTCTGCAGCTGGCCTTCATCCATTTCCCAAAGTTTACTGTTAGCTCATCCATCCATCCACCTGTTCACCCACCCATCCATCCATCCATCCTTCCATCCATCCATCCACCCATCCACCCATCCATCCATCCATCCTTCCACCCATCCACCCATCCATCCATCCATCCTTCCATCCATCCATCCATCCATCCTTCCATCCATCCACCCATCCATTCACCCACCCATCCATCCACCCACCCATCCATCCACACATCGTCTCCTCCATCCACCCATCCATCCATCCACCCACCCACCCATCCATCCACCCATCCATCCATCTACCCATCCACCCATCCACCCACCCATCCATCCACACATCCATCCATTCACCCACCCATCCATCCACCACCCATCCATCCACACATCGTCTCCTCCATCCACCCATCCATCCATCCACCCACCCACCTATCCATCCACACATCCATCCATTCACCCACCCATCCATCCACCCACCCATCCATCCACACATCGTCTCCTCCATCCACCCATCCATCCATCCACCCATCCATCCACCCTTCCATCCATCCATCCATCCATCCACCACCCATCCACCCACCCACCCATCCATCCACCCACCCATCCATCCACCCATCCATCCATCCACCCACCCATCCATCCACCCATCCACCCATCCACCCACCCATCCATTCACCCATCCATCCATTCACCCACCCATCCATCTACCCACCCATCCATCCACACATCATCTCCTCCATCCACCCACCCACCCATCCACCCACCCATCCATTCACCCATCCATCCATTCACCCACCCATCCATCTACCCACCCATCCATCCACACATCATCTCCTCCATCCACCCATCCATCCATCCACCCATCCACCCACCCATCCATCCACCCACCCATCCATCCACCACCCATCCATCCACCCACCCATCCACTCATCCATCCATCCACCCATCCAATCATACTTCCAACTACCCACCCTTCCACCATCCATGTGCACACATACATACACCCATCCTCTCTTCCTCCCTCCCTGCTTTCTTCTTTCCTTCCTCCCTCCCCTTCTCCCTCATCCCTCCTCCCCGCTTCCTTCCCTCCTCCCTCCCTCCCTCCCTCCCTGGTGCCTCCTCACTGTCAGCCTCCAGCCACCCAAGGGCCTTGTGGTTTGGAATGCTCTGGATCCCCCAATTTCCTCTAGACCCCACCTAAGGTTTGGGGACTGAGAGGGCCATTCTGAGGCCTCCGCCTGGCGCCCCAACTCCCACCCCTGCTGTGGAGCTCTCCAGGGTGCTGGAGTGAGTTTGCTGGAAAGAGGGGTTGAGAAGTCTGGGAGAGGAGGTGGTGCCTGGGACCAGGTGGCAGGATGGCGGGGGGGGGGGGCAGGGAGAGACTTGCAGAGACCCATCAGAGCCCAGGTGAGTGGACACTGGACCGCTCCAGCGCTGGGCTTGGAAGAGCGGAGGACGTGGGCCCTTGGCGCAAGTGGGGGACAGAAAGAGCTGCTGATTTCATGGGAAGGTGGCTGACACTCCTTGGGCTGTAAGTGCATGAGCTCAGGGACTGTGTCTGCCTTGTCTCCCATGTACTCTGATGCTGGCTCTACATGACAAGAGGCAACCTTTGAAATGAAGACATGCAGCCGGGTTTGTGCTGAACCTGGGGGCCCATGAGCCTCCCAACCGAGCCGCTGTGTGGCCGATGAGCGCGCCCACCTGGGCTCACAGAGGAGGCTGCTCCGCCGGCAGCATCAGATCTGCGGCTGCACCCCAGGGTGGGACACGGCCCATGCTCTCCCTCTCCAAACCCGAGGACAGTCTCCTGCAGCTGCCTGGTGAGCTGCCTGGTGAGAGGAGGGTCCCTTTCCTGTAGAACATCCCCAGATCAAAGCACATGCTCTCCACCCCAAGGGAGAGGGGGTCACACCCACCGTGTGGACACACAAACTCTACAGGCAGTAGTACTCCTGCCCTGGATTCCTGGTTCCACAGCCTCAGACTCGAAGCCTCAGTTCCTGGACCTGAAATTCGGGAAGAGCCCTAACTGCCTCACAAGGTAGCCATGAGGCTTAGATGGAATGGCGTGATGTGTGTTACATGCCTGGACCACATGTGGCTGAGCGGGGCCTCAGAATGCCTGAGGGAGCTGCCGTGGGAGCCAGCTCATTGGCCAGGATGGTACCTACCTCATGGCTTGGTCATTGGGGTCTCCACGTGCTTCTGTCGCGGACAGACAGAGAACATCCCAGGGTGGGCCTGTGGGTCTCCCACCTGCCACAGGGCCTCCCAGGTTAACCTGGCAGACAGGCCAACTTGAGGGATGCAGAGGCTTGGGGGGTAAGACCAGAGCAGGAACTGGGGGACTGATGGTCAATGGGAGAGGAGCCGACCCTTAGGTCCTGCCTGGTCCTGTTTGGCCACCATGTCAATCAGACATCACGGTAACCAGATAAGAGAGGCTGCTGTCCACGCAGACAAGGCACCTGGGGTCACAGAGTTTGGACAGCCTCCCCATCCATCTGCCCCTCAAGGGACCCAGGGAGGGCTGAGGCCAGGACTTCCTGACCCCAGAGCCCAGGTGGTCTTCAGAAGGTCAAGGATGTCTGGCTGCCCGAGGCAGGTGGGCCCCCAGAGTGTCCCTCGAAGGGCCAGTGGGAAGCCCCACCCACTGTGACTGCCAAGCCCTCGCCACTCAGTGCCAGCCTCGGGTGGCACCTGGCAGACGCTCGGGCGTGAGAGGGGCCGGCACTCAGGCCCCTGCTCCCGAACCGGGGACCACCTTCCAGGTGGGCTCCAGCCGACGGAACACGACCACCTCTGGACTTGGCTGGAATTGCAAATGTGACCTGTGACCTGAGCCAGGGAGGGGCATGGGGCTGGGGTTGGCCAGAGGTCAGAGGCCCCAGGCTGCATTTCAGCAGGAAAAATAGGAAGGGCTCCTGAATAATGGAACAGCCTCACCTTCTGTGCGTAACTTACTGACCACGTTGGGGGACAGCGCTCAGGTGGCAGGGCCGCCCGGGTCCTGCACACAGGGGCCAAATCCAACTGGCAAGGGCGGGTCTCATCAGGTGCGTCTCCTGAAGTTTCTCGGTGTTAGCAGAGCTGCAGCCTCTACTAATCAGTTGCATCACCTACGTTCCCTGACCTTTTGTTAAAAAAGAGAAGTGCTGTTTCCTCCCCCTGGATTTATTTTGACTGAGACACGCCGCCCCCACCACCTCCTGGCTGGAGGTCATGGTGCCCGTGAGGGCCTCTCAGGCGCCAGGTGTGAGTCGCTACGGCCCCACCCCGCTCCTCCATCCAGGGCTCCCCAGCACCGCCGAGGCCGTCAAAATCAACGAGACATCTGAGGAAGTCACGGCTCGGAGGAGCCTAAGGAGACATGTCCACTACACGTGACAGGGGCCCCGGATGGGGTCCTGGGCAGGAAAAGACAGCAGGGAGGCATTCGATGAAATGAGCAGGACCCTCGGGGCCTTCTGCCCCAACCCTGCGTCCCCCTTGCCTCTTGTCGTAGAAGAACTTCAGCCTCCCAGGCCTTCCCTGAGTTCCAAAGAGCAAATTTAATCAAAGGGGGGAGAAAATGCAGACACAAAGGAAAACAGCCAAACAAGACAAAATAACAGTAGTCTATCCATAAAAACGAAGTCACGAAGGGCCTTTAATTCCTCCTTCCCAGGTGGCGCTAGTGGTAAAGAACCAAGTTGCCAGTGCAGGAGACATAAGAGACAAGGGTTGGATCCCTGCATCGGGAAGATCCCCCGGCGGAGGGCATGGCAACCTGCTCCAGTATTCTCGTCTGGAGAATAACATGGACAGAGAAGCATGGTGGGCTACAGTCCATGGGGTCACAGAGTCAGACACGACTGAAGCGACTTAGCACACACACACAAGGCCTCTAGGTAATATCCTGAGCCGTGTCCTTGAGCTGTTTTGCAGATACTCAAACTCCCTCCAAGTGGAGAAGTTAACTGCATGCTGCCCAGCAGCACATAGACCCCAGACCTGCTGGAACCAGCAGGCTGATGTCCAAGACTCCTGAGACATCACCGTTTACCTTCCCACCACCCAATCAGAGTACTGTCCAAGAGCTGACCCTCTCCCTCACCAGGTCTTTAAGAGCCCTTCTGAAAGCCCCAGGGAGTCTGGGTCTTCTGAGCATGAGCTGCCCTTCTTCTTGGCCCAGCAATAAACGCTGCACTTGACCTTCACCACCACCTGGGGTCGGTGGATGGGCTTTGCTCTGGCAGGAATCCAGATTTGGTTTGGTAACAAAAGTGACACTCGGGCTCCTTCAGTTAACCACTGTATAAACATTGTTCATTAACTGTAACAAGTGTACCTTATTAGGGCAGCATGTTAATAACAGGGGAAACTAGGTGGGCAACAGGGGAACTCTGTGCTCTCACAATTTTTCCTGTAAGTCTAAAACTATTTTAAAACAAAATGTTAATTTTAAGACGTCCATGCACAGATATGGCTACTGAAATGTCACTCGTGACAAGGGGGTAGCTCTGTAAAGGATAAGACGCCCATGCAATGAAATACTACACAGTCCTGGAAAAGGATGGCTGGGAGCTCAGCTACAACCAAAAAATGTCAGATTTCACTATTAGCTGGAAACACAGAGAATTAAATTCTGTAAAGACAGGATCACAGCTCTACAAAAATACCGCAGGGACGATGGTTGGAAGAGGAGTCCCAGCAAGTGCCCAGAGCCCTTCCCTGGAGGTGGGGCCGTGGGCTCTCCAGGGACCAGGCGTTGCTTCGCTGAGAAGCGGGCATACACAAGAGCACGGTAGGCCAGCTTGGGCAGAGCGCACAGCGATTCCTGGACGGGACTTACTATTTCAGGAGCTCGGCAGGCAGGATACCAGGAACTGAGCTACAGCAGCTTCTGTATTAATTGCCCTTGCCACCGAAGCTGTAAATCCTCTGGCCTCATTTTGCTAAACACGCGGCCTCTCGAACTGCGGGTGTGAAAGCACGGTGTGACCCTCCAGGCCCCGAGAATGGGATTTGGACTGGATACTGTCCAGATGCCGCCCGGCTTTGTCGCTCTGCTGGGCGAGGGCAGCGAAGCCGCCGCAGCCGACAATGAGCTGCCCATCGTGTTAGGAGGCGCGGCTGCTCTGCCCGGAAGATTAAAAATTTCGGGAGTGAATCCAGGTCTTGTCTGACATGACACGCTGGAAGCCAAAGCTCAGAAACTTCTGTGCTCGGTTGTAACAGGATAACACGCTGCAGCGGCTGCTAATTGCTGAGCCTCCTCCCAGACACGTGCTCCCAGAGTGCTGCCTCCAGGTGGTAAGCTGCTGGGCGGCCAGGGGAGCCAACGTGGACACCTCCTGGACCAGAGGGGCTCACCCTCCTGGCCCCTCCGTCAACCCTTCACGAGGCCGGGCCTGGGGCAGGACCCCCGGGCGGCAGGCCCCTCCCCAGCCCAGTGGGGTCATCCTCTCCCCCGCCTGGTTTTGGGCGGCGGTCTCCTTCCGTCTGAGTGTCGTGGCAGGAGGCGGGTTCACCCTCCGGGTCACCATCAGGGCAGCATTTAAAGGTCCACAGAGGGTCAGCCCTGTCCTGGAAGTCTCCCACGGGGCTCCGAGGGCCGCCCAGTGGGCTGGTAGGGGCCCCCAGTGTGAGCACGTGTGGATTTTGAACACTGATGTTGCTACAGGGCATCGGAGTCCAGGCTTCCCCAACATGAAGAGAGTCCAGGGGCCAGGACGGGGCGCCCCCGTGGGGACGATCGCTGGGTTTTCAGACGAGAAGATGGAAGGCGGCTGTGTGTCCACGTTTGGGGCCAGCACTGGACCCCTCAGGCCGCAGCAGCCTCTCCATATGAGTGAGAACAGACAGGGCCCCCCTCGTTTGGACACCAAGGACAGAGGCGAGGTGGGCTGGGAGGGGCTCCCACCCCCGCACAGCGAAGACGGGCAGGGGGCTGGGGTCAAGCCTGAAGCCTCCAGAAGGGGCGCCGGGGAAAGCGGAAACCCGGGGAGGGGGAGAGGGAACAGAGTGCGGGCAGAAGGGGGCCTGACAGCCCGGTGTGTGGCCGCCAGGAGCCCCGGGGGGCAAGGCACAGGCGGGGACACCGGCTCTGCCTACTGAGGCACCATTTCCTGTATGTTTTTTTTAATTTACTTATTTTAATTGGAGGATAATTGCAATGTGATGGTTTTTGCCATACATCAACATGAATCGGACACATACATACCCTGAATACACATCGTGAAACCCCCTCCCTCCACACCCCGTCCCACCGGGCTGTCCCAGAGCACCAGCTTTGTGTGCCTGCTTCAGGCATCGAACTTGCGCTGGTCTTGTTTTACGTCTGGTAATGTACACGTTTCAGTGCTGTTCTCTCAACCATGCCACCCTCACCTTCTCCCACTGACCTCTCTGCCTGCATCCCACAGACCCGGCCCCACTCTGACCCGCCCAAGGCCCCGCCCCTTCAGCGGTCCCCGCCCCTTTCGTAGATCCTGCCCCTTCCCAGGCTCCGCCCCTTCCGTAGGCCCCGCCCACTCTACAGGCCCCGCCCCTTCCACAGGCCCGGCTCCTTTCATAGACCCTGCCCCTTCCCAGGCTCCGCCCCTTCCCCAGGCTCCGCCCCTTCCGCAGGCCCCGCCCCTTCCACAGACCCGGCTCCTTTCGTAGATCCTGCCGCTTCCCCAGGCTCCGCCCCTCCCGCAGGCCCCGCCCCTTCCACAGACCCGGCTCCTTTCATAGATCCCGCCCCTTCCCCAGGCTCCGCCCCTCCCCAGGAAAGAATGTGTGAGCAGTTGTGTAGAGACAGAGAGCGAGTGGGAGACTGGTGAGAGGAGAGACTATAGATTAGCAGATGTTGCTGAGAGGTTAAAGAGATGTAGATAGATGCATCTCTCTACGTGTGCAGATATAGATGTGTCTGTGTATATGTATGTATGCATGTATGTATCACGTATTTTTCAGTGTTTGAGGACTATGAGTGAATATTTGTACTTCTCTTTGCTGAGACTTTCGAAATTTGCTTTGGACTGAAAAAAAAAGTGCTATTTAAGACAAGTGACAAGACGGAGCACAGCCTCATGTTGATCAGGTGCAAACCCGTAGGTCTTAGGGCCCAGGACACAGGACACGCTCCAGACCGACAAAGCAGAGACACAGGCTGGAGCCTTCCAAGGCGAGGCCCTCATACATTTCCTGGTGAAGATGGGACAGCCTCGGCTCCAAGGATCACCCAGCTCCACGCAGTGTCCGGGGACTTGATCTGGGGCTCCTGCTGCCTCTCCAAGTTCCCCAGGAAGCTGCTTCCAGAACCCTGCTTCCATCCCTCAGGGAACAGTCCTCAGACCCACTGTGGGGGCTTCTCTGGGATCCCTTCTGAGTGCCTGGCAGCTCCTCCCATGTCCGAGAGCGGATCATGCAACCCCTGGGGTCACCCACAGCACTCTCGATGTAAAGCCATGCACTTGTCTTCTTGGAACCTTCCGGGAGCAGGCAGGCTTGTCTGGAATGGGGGCCACACGTCTCCCCGTGTCGTGCTGTGTCTTGTGAGAAAACGTGGGGCCTTGGGGAAGGCTGCCTGGAGGCTCGTGATGGAGCAGGCCCCCCCCCGCTTGTGTGATCTGCCCCCAGACAGAGCCCTGGCCCCCACAGACAGCACCCCATCCTGGAGAGAGGGCCCTCCCTAGGCCACACGCCCACAGAGCTCCTTTCTCCTGCTCCCTCCGGCTGGGGGTGTCAGCACGGAGACGCCCCAAAGGAGGGGAGGAAGCAGGCTGCCTGGGTCCCTCATGGCCAGCAGGGCTCAGGTGAGGCTCTGCCTTCTCAGCGACCGATGGCCTCACCCAGCTGTGGTCCCCCCAGCAGCTGTGGCCTTGAAGGACTCACCCTCTGGGCCTGGCAGGCTGGAAGCCAACCCTTTGCCATACGGCCACGAGTTAGGACCAGAGCTTTGGACAAAGGGCCCACACTCACGGCACCAGCTTGTCCTTTCCTGCGTGTGTACAAGGCCGCCCGCGCAGCAGGGATTCCCCCGGTGTAACCCACAGGCCGGGTCATTTGCCTGTAAACTTAAGGGATCATAACAGGTTTCGGAGTGAGGCCAGGCCCGGACGATGCTCAGGTAGTGGAATGAACACCCAACATGCAAACTTGGGCTTAGACAGACCTCAGCTTGCACCCGGCACCCGGAAAGGCTCCTGACCCCCGAGCGGACTGGGGGTGCTGCCTCCCTTGTGGAGCATCCTGATTGTCCACCGAGGCCAAGCCTGGAGCTGCCGCGGCCCAGGCAGGAAGGAAGCTGGAGGCAGGAGGCAGGGCGCTCACATCCCAGCCAGGCGCTAAGCCAGACCACGTAGGTCCCTAAGACCAGCCCCCCTTCTTCCCTCTGGACCCTCCAGCGCTGGCTGCCTGACCCCCCACATTGGCACCGTTTACTGACCAGCAGCTAGAGCGCAGCTGAACACACGGTCAGGGCCGTGCTGGAGGGAGCGCAGACCGAGCTTGGCAAAGCCTTGGGCAGGGAGCAGCGTCGGGAGGGGTGGGGCGCAGGGGACTTGAAGCCCACTAGCTCGAGGAGGGTCAGGAGGGGGGGCCAGGCCGCTGGGCGTGACACTCTCTGGCCTCACCAGCACCGGATGTGGGCTTCTGATGAACCACCGTCTGAGCGCACAGACTCGGACGCCCCCACCTTCCCGCGGGGGCCTGTTTCCCGCCCACCGTCCACACTGAAGCCGGCCCAGCCCCTCTGTGACAGCTGACCCCACAGCAGGCTTTGGGCAGGACTATGGCCGCCTGGGTGCCGGGTCGAGGACCCCTCCTGCTTGAGGAGATGCCCCAGTGGGCATGGTCAGACGCCCCGGGCAGCGTCCACGCATTGCCCAGCCAGTGGCATGGGCACTCTGCTGAGGCACAGCGGCGCCCGTGGTCTGGGTCATCCGATGGCATCCTGGAGGAGGCGGGTACAGTTGGACTTTGGGGGACAGAAAGAGGAGAGAAGGAAGGGGCAGGGTGCGGCTTCCGCCATCTCTCCCTACCTCACGGCAGAGCGCCCTTCAGAGGATGCTAGCGAAGCATGGAGGAAAGCTTAGAAAAGAAATGCAGATCAATTCACATGTGCATACATAAATAAGAAAGCTGGGAGATAACTTGTTAGAGAAAGAAGGGGTCAGAGGTCCCCGCACTTAACTGGCTCCTCCTGGCTCACCTCCCCAAGAAGCGCAGTCCTGGACGGTACAGCCCCTGGGTTCTCACCTGAGTCTTCAAATCAGAGGGAAGGAGCTGGTCGCCCCAGTTCTCCTCGAAGGCCCGTGTCTCTGCCCAGACTCAGTAGCTGGGGCGAGAGTTGGTGTCAAGCATCATGACGGGCACTTCCCCAGGGACCCCAGGCTTGTGAACAGGGAGAGTGGCGTGAGCGTGACTGTCGTCATCTAAGCAAGGGGATGCCACCTGCAGGGTTTCCCAGGCAACCGAGTCACACCCCTCTGAGCTCCAGGAAGCCACCCGCCCCTGCTTCCGTTCCCAGTAAACTACCTGGAGCAGGACGACATGAAACTGTGTGTGCGGCGAATGACCTTTTACTGAAGACTGCCCCGTCTGCTGCAGTGGGGATTTTTTTCTCCATAAATGAAGAAATGGGCTTCCCTGGTGGCTCAGATGATAAAGGTTCTGTCTGCAATGCAGGAGACCTGGGTTCGATCCCTGGGTCGGGAAGATCCCCTGGAGAAGGAAGTGGCAACCCACTCCAGTATTCTTGCCTGGAGAATCCCATGGACGGAGGAGCCTGGTGGGCTACAGTCCATCGAGTCGCAGAGAGTCGGACATGACTGAGCGACTTCACTTCCACTTTTGCCATAAACGCATCCGCTTCTGGGCTCGCTCACGACCCACTGGTTGAGGTGTGCGTCTTTGCCCCAAGGTTATGCCATCTCTTTCCTTCAGGTTCACGGTGATGATGATGTAATAGCACAGGCATGCGGCCCCAGCGTCTGCAGGGTCACCCTCAGCTCTGTCCTTCCAGTCGGTAGATCGTCAGGTGATTCAGAACCCGCTTATCGACCTCTGGGGGAGGAAACTCCCCAGCGTACCGTGGAGGCTGGACCGGAATGTGTGTGTTGCGTGAGGGAGAGCTGGCCTGCGTCACTGGGGCGGGCCTCCCGTGGGCTCGCCTTTCCGTCTGGCTGCCCCTCGGGGTCCTCAGCGGGGCAGCCGCTGTGCCATCTGCATGGCCCAGACTGTCAGACTTGGTCCCGGGCCTTGATGGTCAGGGCTAGCAGCAACCTAAACAATCCTGTCTGTCTGTCTGCTCTTCTAAAGAAATGGCCTTGGGTCCAGTGACTGCAGTGAAACCACTAGTTAAACTGAACAGTTTGCAGATCTTTCTGGATTTTCCAGGTCTGCGTTCATATCATCAAAAACAGTCACTGTGTTTCTTTCTTTCCAACCTGACATTCACTTTGACTTTCCTTTTGTGAGGCCTGCATGGGCCCGGCCATGCAGGCTGTGTCCCATGGAGGGGAGGTGACTGACAGGGGCACCCAATTCCATCCAGCGCATCCCCAGGGACCCACAGGCAGCCCCTGCGCTCAAATAAACAGTCTCCAGTGCCGGCTCTCTTTTCCTTTTCAACGATGCACCTTTGGGCTTCTCTGGTAGTTCAGATGGTGAAGAAGCCACCTGCCGTGCAGAAGACCTAGGTTCAATTCCTGGGTCCAGAAGAACCCCTGAGAAGGGAGTGGCTACCCACTCCCATATTCTTGCCTGGAAAATCCCATGGACAGAGGAGCCTGGTGAGCTCCAGTCCATGGGGTCGCAAAGAGTCAGACATGATGAGCAACTAACACACTTAGTTTTCTAAAAAAGGAAAATACAGATAGAATCATTCACTATAAAGTAGAGAGAGAAACCCAGCTTGTTCCCCAGCTTTGCAGGGGATTGAATCCCATGGGTGAGATGGAGAACAGGCACATTTAGATGGAATGTTCTGGTCTTCCCCCAGACTCACTGGCCCCAAAGGTGCCACAGCCTCTGGGAGTGCACACGGGGCCCCAGCACCCTCTGGGCCAGGGGCTCGGGAGCCCACCCTGGCTGGCCTTCCCCAAGCCCTTTGCCCTTGAGCCCACCAAGGTCAATGAGCAGCTCCCCGCCTGTCACCCTTCGGTAGAGCGTGGGTGAGGCTGTACCCTTCCGTCAAGAGCAGCTCCTGTTCCCAGGGGTCAGGCATTTCCGCGGAGAACTCGTGTGGCGGGTGTGGGCTGGGCGGCCCCCACTCAGCGCTGATGGGCAGGCGGGCCCCCGAGGGGTCTGCCCCCATGTAGAAGCCTCCCCTACGGAGCTGGATATGCCATATTGTGAAAGGGACACGTTTATTTTTCAGCTGCTTGGTAAATTATTAAAAAATCAGCCTTCCATTTCAAAAGTGATCTAGAATGATGAGCTCAGTGGGGGGAAAATGCTGCCAAATGTTTTCTTGTTAAAAACCCTGATTTTTTTTTTTAAAAAATGCTGTAATATCTTTACGAAGAGCTGAAGTGGTCTGACCGGGTCTCCAGAGTAATCTTCTTAAAAGGTTTTCGATAATTTTAGACTTTTATTTGCTACGCATTTGAGTCACTTTGGAAGCTCAGCATGGTTTTTGGTTTGGGATTTTATGAGTTTGTTTAATGCCCACTGTCTGAGCATTTCCAGCCATTAATTCGGCCACTTCCAGGGGCCACCGCAGCCCATTACCTCCGCCTCCCCTCCCAGCAGCTGCTGCCCCTCCCATCTGCCCACCGGGGACCTCAGGACTCACAGAGAGGACCCCTGGCCTTGCTTCCAGCTCGCACCCCTGCAGGGGCCAGGCCCCCACCGGCTCCCAAGGTCCCCCTCTGCCCCGGGCACCTGCTAGGACCCCATTATCGATGGCCCGGCGTCCTGGGACCTCCTGGCCGCCTTCACTGTTGGGTGAAGCTCAGAGCCCCGGGGACCCTGTGGGCCTGGTTCTCCCGCTCCCGGGGGCACTGGGGGGTGCTGGGGGGCACTGGGGGGCAGGGACGTGCAGGCCGGGAGCCCCCTTGTCTGGCTCTGCATGAGGCCAGGGCCTCCCATCCCCAGGACTGGGCAGGTGAGGAGCTCTGCCCCCCTCCCTCTCCCCTCTCAGCCTCCCTGCCCAGCCAGCCCCTGAGAGACACAGCAGGTGGACCACGCGGCCCCTCACAGTGGGCTACACGTCCCAGCCACTCACAGGCCGGGGGCTGGCCCAAGTCACTCAGGACAAAAGCCTTGGGCCCCAGAGCCCTGAGACAGTGAACGTCTGCTGTTTAAGCCACGGCTGGGGACCCAGGCACAGCCAACCCTGCACAGGGCAGACCTGCCTCCCTCTGGGTTATCATGTGGGCGGCCCTGGCCTCGTCTTGCCCCTCTCTCCTCCATGGCGAGGGCGGCAGGCCCTTCCAGGGGTGGCTGGCTGGATGGGAACCAGCCCCGTGCCAACCTGTGCAGGAGGGACCCTGAGGCAGCGGCTGTCCTGGGCCCACCGGCCAGGTCAGCACAGAGCAGGGGCTCGGCCCAGGCCCCCCAGGCAGCAGAGGCTGTGTCACCTGCCTCCCCCAGACCCAGGCCTTCAGAGACCTTTGCGGGGCCAGCAGGCCCCTCCTCCCGGAGAAGTCCGGTCTGACCGCTGGGAGTTCAGTGAACCCACGGCCACGGAAGAGGTGCTGAGGGCACCCTGACCGAGCGCCTGAGCACCAAGCACTGTGGGTACCTGGGGGACACGGCAGCGAGACAGGGCTGCCCCCTCCTCTACGGGCCCTCAGGGCTGCCCTGACCGCACGGGGAGCTTCTAGGAGGAGGCAGCTCGGGAGCAGCCGTGAGGGGCTCAGAGGGGCTTGCTGGGGGTCTCAGGGGGAGGAGAGGGTCCCAGCCCTGAGAAGGCAGGGGGTGTGCAGGCCCCCAGCTCTCAGAGAGGGTGCGCCCCCACACTGCGGGTGTCGGGAGAGCCGGGGAGGGGATGGGGGAGACCCCACGACCACGGCCGGGGTTCCACGTGGGCCTCCCAGGTAGGTTCTTGTCCCGGTCAGACGGTGGAGGCGGGGGGGGGGCGGGAGGAGCCAGGTCAGCCTGTATGCGGGCTGGGACCACCCCGAGGCCACGCTGTACTTGACGTGGACCTCTCACCGGAACTTCCTTCAAAGCCACCCCACCCCCCAGACCCCTTTTCAGTCTTGCTTCTGGGGATGTTGCCTGGCCAGGAATTCAGGGGAGCAGCCCTGGAGCCCCAGCCAGGCTCCTGCTGTCCTGGGCAGATGGGCCTCCTACTGGGGGGCGGGGCAGCCCCACAGCCAGACACCCACACCCCACACGGAGGGTGGGGACCAAGTTACGCGCCGGCCAGCGGACGCCCCCCACCCCACCCGATGCAGTCGTCCCCGGCGGTCGGGCTTGGCCTGGCAGCTCCCTGTCCTCTCAGCACCGAGTCCGCTGGGGAACCCGCTCCCCCGGGTATGGCCTTCACCAGCCAAGGGACAGCTCAGAGGAGAAAAGCCACAGGCCCGGGAGGAGCCTGGGGCCGCAGCCGCCCCTGCGAGCCTTTGAAGGCAGAATTTTGCACGTGTTGACGTTTGTTCTCAGCAGCAGGCAGCAACATCGGAGATGCTAACTGCTCTCAGATCTGCTTCAAGCAAAGGGACTGAACTGACTTAAAAGCACCCTGGAGCCCCCGGCAGTGGGTGGGTGGTTTCAGCGGGGAGGGGTCTCCGGGGCGTGCCCTCCTACACACAGGCACTTCCAGGCTCTGTTCCCGGCGGCAGCGCGGCCCAGGGGGTGTTTGCGTTCTTCCCAGGAGTCCCGGCCGCCCTGCACACGTGCGTTCAGGCAGCAGCTGGACAAGCAGACAGGACGGAGGAGAGATGCCGTCTCAGGCTGCTCGGGCCACAGGGAGCCTGAGATCAGGGTGCCGGGCGATGCTGCCCCTGAGACAGTCTCTCCTGGGTGTAGACGCCGCCTTCCTCAACGCCCTCACCTGGGGGCGGGGGCTTCGGTCCCTCCTCTTCTTAGGAAGCCCTGATCCCATCACAGGCCCTCTCAACGACCCTGATCACCTCCAGAGGCCCCGCCTCCCAACAGCATCACCTTGGGGCCAAGGCTCAAACACAAGACCTTGTGTGGACACGGGAACCACTAGGCCAACTGCGGCCAGGGTGGCCCCTTCACGCGCTGAGCAGAGCGAGGCGGGCAGCTGAATAGTGAGGTCAGGGGTCACAGCCACCGCCTCCAGATCTGCCTGTGAAGACCTTCCATCCAGAAGCAGGTGCATTACCTTTCTTTTGTTTAAAAAGGAATTTGTTGTTGTGTTCAGCCGTTCAGTCATGTCCAGCTCTTCAGGAACCCATGGACTGCAGCACGCCAGGCCTCCCTGTCCATCACCAACTCCTGGAGCTTGCTCGAACTCATGTCCATCGAGTCGGTGATGCCATCCAGCCACCTCATCCTCTGTCATCCCCTTCTCCTCCTGCCCTCAATCCTTCCCAGCATCAGGGTCTTTTCCAAGGAGTCAGCTCTCCTCATCAAGGCCAACGCAAACCGTCAGGGTGGGGTGGGCAGGCCTGGAGGGTGTCCCTGGCGGTGTGACTCCCAGGTCTGACCTGCTGATGGGCTGGAAGGCAGCCACGCACTCTCTCCCAGGCATGGCCCGGCTCAGCCCCCACATTTGGTCTGTGCGCCCACCGGCGGCAACATTCCAGCAGCTTGTTAGCCAGAGGCCACTGTCCTGTGGCTGCGGACACAGAGTGGGTATGTACATCATCTGGCTGAGGCCAGCTGGCGGGTCGCAGGTGCCTGAGCCGGCTCCTAGCTGACGGCCTCCCTCCCCCGGCCCCCCGGGAACCGGCGGCGGTGGCCTCTCTGCCTTGTTAACACATCTGGCCCTCGGGGCCCTGCAGCCTGGGTCAGCTGAGGCACTGGGCCAGCCAGGGCCTCGCTGTCCTGCCTCCTCCCGAGACGCAGCCTCCCGCCGCGTGCCCATCTGGACGGCATCTGCCCGCGCTCTGTGCGAGATGTGGACCAGTGTTCTGCGAACTCGCGTTTTTTCTCTTAGACGGGTGCCGCGGCACACTCCCCGGGGCTCGGGGGCCGACACCAGGAGCCCAGTCTCCTAGGATGGTGGGCCACCCCGCCCAGCAGCCCCCGCTGCCCCAGCCCCCCTCCTGCTCACAGGGTGGGGTCCCTGCGTCCTGGGGCCCCACCTGCAGCCCCATCTCCCAGCGGGAGGCCTTGGGCGCCCCAAGCCGGGCGCTGACCATGACCGCTGCTGCCCTTCCCTCCAGCCCCAGGAGGAAGCCTGGACCCGGAGCGCCGCCTCAGCTCCACATGCTCGGCGCTTTAGTGGGGCTGGGGGGCATGCACCCCCCACCTCTTGTGCCCACGGGAGCCACCCATGCTGGGAAGCCTCTGACCCACGCAGCTTGTCTGAGCCAGCTTGGCTCCGGCCTCACCCAGACCCCTGACTGGGGACGACTCCATCACTGCCCGCTCCTTTATCCGAGCCTGTCGGTCAGCTTCTGGGGCAGTGGCCCAGCCTCACCCACGTCCACCCCCTCCGCTGTTGCTCACATCCAGGTGATGCCCAGGGCTGCCCTCTGGGGCCCACCAGGGGCCGATGGGCTCCTTCAGCTGAGCCTGGGGCTGCCCAGCTCAGTTCGCAGGAATCTAGTCTCCCCTGTGACTGCTAGCTCATGGAGACAGGAAACAGCACGTGTGGGCAGATCTGTGAGCACAGACGCCTGGAGCAGAAGGCTGAGTGGCCGGCGCTGAGGCTGGAGGGGTGTGAGGTCCGCGGTTCCAGACCGGACAGAGGCTGCTGGAGCTCCGTGAGCAGAGAGGAGGACGGTTGGCCCAGGACTTTGTGCAGGGTCCCTCTGCTTTCCAGCTTCTCAGGAGGGGAGGGGAGCAGGCAGGGACATGGGGGCTCTGGGGACATCCGTGTCCAGACCCAGGAGGCACCGTGGCCGGGATGGGAGGAGAGGCGGAGGAGGCGGGGACAGCAATTCCCTCCAGGTGGGAGGGGCGTGAGCCTCACTCAGCAACAGCTTTCGCCCTGCCAGAGGAGAAACAGTGAAGGGGCATCTGGTCCACTGCGGAAACTTGGCGGTGATGAGCTGTGAGCCCGTCACCCTGAGACAGGGTCGGGAACTGTGGATCCTGTCCCGTCACCATCTCCAGGGATGGGGCATCCAGAGCATCTCTGCTTGTACCTGGGACACTGCCCGTGGCCCCCGAGATTCTTCCAGAAGCCTTCTCATCCTAACCTAGAAAGCCCTGCACTGCCAGGACCCCACGTGGTCAGTCACAGCTCTGGTGCAGACCCCAGGACATGACAAGGGTGTCTGGGCGCTTCAGAGCAGCAGGACCGTCCTCTCTGAGACGGGAGCTTGGGGTCACTGGGGACATCCCCCCACCCTGTTCACCCCAGGCCTCTCTCCTGCGGCCATGCCCGTCCCCCCAGCACAGCCTCCTTCAAGCCGCCCAGCCGCACGTCCTCCCTAGGAGCGCGTCCTGTCGGAGCTGCTGATCCAGGCTGGGCTTTGTTGGCTGTTCCCTCTGGAGTCCTGTCGGAGACCATTTCCTTTATCAATAATGAAAGCACAAAGACAGAGGAGGGAGGTGTTCTCTCCTCATCTCCCTGACTCAGCCCCCCACTCAGCCGTCGGCCGGAGAGGATGGGCCCCAGGAGCCGACAGAGACGACAAACGGGAAACGCAGCCCCCGAGTGTGGATGTGCAGGCCATCATGCCGCAGGCAGGCAGGTCTGGGGCTGGCGGACGTGCCCGGGAAGCACGCTCCTGGCTGGAGGGTGAAGGGGGGGCCCCAGGCAGACGCGTGGCCCACGTATGCGGTGCCCATGGCTCTCCTGGGCGGCCGGGTGACTGTAGCTGGGCCGTCGTCTGAGCGGCCAGAGGGGGAGACGAGCGAGCTCAGACCCCAGTGCTCGGGAAGGCAGGCTCACGCGTTGTCCACGGGCAGTGGGGGCCCAGCCAGTCGCAGGCCGTGACAAAGGGTGCTGGGCAGAGGTTGTCGGGACGGGATGGCGGACCTCGCTGCCACTGCCCCCGGCTGTCAGGAGTTCATACCTGAGCAGTGGGCTCCTCCAAGAGGGTCTCCTGAGAACAAGGATGCGCTCAGTACCCACCAGATAAGTCTTTCGGGAAAAATAAAAAAGACTCCTTTCACGGCAGCTGAGCCTTCTAGAAGCACAGAAGCACTCATTTGGGCACTGGTTTGAAAGCCACGCATCAGTATTAGCTCTGGACGTTTCCGAAGTCATTCATTGACCTATTTATTCATCCATTCAGTCCAGCAAGCCCATCACTGTCCACTCGCTGGGCTCTGGCGTTCCCGTCATCTGACTGGCAGGTTTAACGAGGTGTTCCCTGCTCTCTAGAATTCCCGCCTGCGACAAGACCCCCCAGTCAGTCCTCTTCTCTTGAGCCTGGGGAAGTGGGCGCTTAGAAGCCTGGGGGCTCCCCTCTTAGAATCAACCTGAGCGCACGTTTCTCTGACATCGCAGCCACTAACCAGAGGCCTGTCTTCCAGTTTATCAGTTTGCATTCAGCGCTGCATCCAGCTTAAGTATACAAATGTAACCCTCGTCTAAGCTGTAATTATGCTTTAGTCCTCTTTCTGGTTAGACTCCTTAAGAATTTAAAATTTTTAATTTCTGAAGTATACAGCATGAGGAATGTTTATAAAGTCTACTTATTTCCAATTCATATATTTCTTCTTATTTTTCTCTAATAGTGACTGCTCATGCGTTATTCAGGATATTCCATTATTTTCCTAACTTCCTTGGTTGAAACAACACTCATGCTGTTTTAAGTCTGTGGATGCTCAGAAAGCATTGCTTTGGCCTAGTGTCATGTCTGGAGTGTCATCAGGATAACTATTCAGAAGAGCTGGAGTCTGGACACAAAAGCGACAATGGCAAAATCTACTCGGCCAGCGCTATAAGCAAACGTCACTGATACCCCACATCCCAGAGACCAGAGTTCAGTCCGTCTGCCGTCTCTGGGATCATAACTGACTTCTGGTTTATTTTACTGAGTGTCAGACACGATGGTGAATCTGTTTGGGTACCGCCTGTGATTGCTGTGGCCGGGTCTACACTCCTGTGAGTATTCTGTCGACATCTGACCGCACCTTCTGTGACTGCGGGTGGGAGCCTGTGTCTTCACGTGTCCGCGTGTAAACACGGATCCTCACACATTCAGGGGTGCGAGTCAGAGGATCACGCGTGTGACGTGACATGAACGTTTACTTGCCCTGCACGTCACGCTCAGGTGCCAAGGGCGTTACCACAGTTTCATTGACATCTGTTTTTCCAGGCGGCTTCTCCAGTTGTTCTGCGTGTTTTGATATTTGATCATCTGTTGTGTAATTTTTTTCACTTTTACAGATTCCGTCTCCCATCAGTGTGAAATAATCATGGTTTTCCTTTTTGTTTGCTTGAGGTCTACTTGTTCCTGTACTAATAGGATCACACAATCGATCACAAATAACCTTCAAAATATAAACAGCAAATGGCCGCGTCGCCTTAGGCAAGCCGGGCTCTGAGTCCCCCCACAAGGAGCTTATAAAAGGCTCGAGGGCTGTCCCGTGTGAGGAGCCGGAGTGAGAGCCCCCTGCAGCCTGGATGGGCAGGCTCACCAGAACCTGACCTGCCGGCACCTGGTCCCGGACGCCCAGCCCCCAGAACTGCAGAAGTTAGCCTCTGTGGTTTCCGAGCGTCCAGCCTGCAGTGACTTGTCCTGAGGGCCCCTCCCCACCCCCGCCCTGTCCGTGCACGGGCGCGTATCTGAGGAGCCAGGGCTGACCCTTTACAGAAGGTCACTGCGGGTCACCCCGGCGCCCTCCAAGCTTCACCAGCTCCAGAGACCTTCTCTCCGTGTGATTTCCAAAAGCACAAACGGGTGTGTGTTTACGTGAGAGCAGACGGGGCCGCCTAGACTGATGCCTGAAATTGCAAAGGCAGGTCCACACAGGCACCGCCAGCCCCCGTCCTGGGGCCCCCAGTGGAGCAGAAGAGACCCCGAGGGGGCTCCGCGGGGGCCTCTGGTCTGGTGTGCCTCCCCCCGTCCGAGCTCTAGACTCTGAGACGGTTGAGCACGCAGCCTGGCCTCAGGGCCTCGGTCTGCCTGGCCCCCTGGAGATCCACAGCAGGATGGGACGGACGGAGCGGGCCCAAGACTCTGTGCTGGGAAGGTCAGGCCTCACCGGCCCTGGGCGCCCTCCTGACTCTGCATCCCTGCAGCTCACAGGTCCCTCCCCCTGGCCCCCGCTCTGTGGGGGGAGCCCCAGGGTTTCCCAGATCCCTGCAGGACGCACCCACCAACCACACATCTCTGGCTGACCCTTTCTGAGCCCTCTGCGTCCTCGTGGCCACACTGGGGTGCCAGGCGGGGCTCAGAGATCCGCTGCGCCCCATGCTCAGAGGGGGATTAAGCAGGTCTCAGGCCCGCCTCTCCCGGGCAAGTCTCCCTGCTGCCACCGCGCTCCTGTTCTTTTCCTGTTTGTGTAACTGGCGGCTCACGCGGTCCGCATGAGCTCCATGACGACGAGCCCCTGAGAAAGCAAAGACGCCGAAGCTTTACCCCAAAGGGCGGGTCCACTCGCTGTGGCTGGGAGTGCGTGCGGAGCCCCGCTGCTGACAGCACGGAGCCGGCACACGCAGCCCGGAGCCTCGGCCCCTGCCCCCCGCCCCGGGCCCCTGGGGCCCCCTTGCGCTGACCGCCCAGACGCGTCTCGGCGGCAGGGTCGCTGAGGCCCCCAGCCACCAGGCGTCTCAAAACGCCGCGGGAGGGAGGGGGAGTGGGTCTGAGATAATAAATCGCTTTGTGCTGCGGCTCTTACAATCTTCTGTTTGCTGTCCCTGCGTTAAAATGTGATCAAATAGTCATCCCTCGGGGAAGGCGCCGGTGATCCCCGGGGTGGGGCCCGCCTCTGCAAGTCCGCTCGGCGCGAACGCCAGGGGGGCGCCCGTCCCTGGCCCTCTGTTTACACCGGCTCTGCTCCTCCTGCCCAGGCCTGCCGCCCCGCTGCCTCCTCTGTCTCTCCAGCCACTTCCATTTCACAGGAGCCCGATTTGAGTCATTATCAGAAGCCGACAGTCGCTTCAGCCTCTGCTATCTCCCCGAACAAAAGCAACAATATTCAATTCAGCCTGCTCTGGTGTCACAGGGAATCACAGGTGATTAAGCTCCAGGGGCCTCGTTTATGAAGGATGAAATGCACACGCCGGCGGTGCCCCTGGCCTCAGACACACCCAGCTCTGCTACAAGCAGACCTGATGAGCCGGAAGTCCTCGGGCGCCAGAATGCCTCTTCCGCGTGCGTGCTGGGGAGATCGGCGATAAACCAGAGAGCTTGCAAGTGGGGGAAACACCCGCCCCCTCGGCGCAGCGAGTCCGGCAGAGCTCCCCGCGCGGGGGCCTGCGTGCTCTGCGAGTCCCGGGACAGCGCCCAGGCCCTCAGGCCCCTCCCGAGGAGGAGAAGGGCCGCTCTGCCCACGTCTGTCTGCGGCTATGGATCTAGAGCCGCCGCAAGTGCCCTCTTCCCTGAATCGGTCCGTCAACAGGAGCGGGCGGTAGTGGCGAGGCCGCAAGGGCTCGCCGGGCGGACGCAGCCTGGTGGACTCGGGGCGTGAGCCGGCTCCCCCGGGAGGGGGTGCGCCTCTGAGCGCGGCGACGGCGACCTCGGCCAGGCCGCTGCCCGGGCAGGGACTCATCTCCGGCTCTGCTCGATGCGGGGCTGGGCCACGAGACCCGGAGGTCTCTGCCGGCGCTGGGTTTTTCTTATCTTAATTGTGTGCTATTGACCGCTGGCGGGCCGGTCACCACGGCGCGGCCCTCAGCCGGCTTTGCTTATTGATCCCAGCCCTTCTTCCCCGGCAGTCAAAGCAAACTTCCCAAAGTGACTTTCGTTTGGCATAAGACAAGGTGTTGCTAGGGATGAGTTCAGCCTCACGACGCTGCGGCAGCTTTACAGGTCTGGAAAGGCCGCGGAGGGTGAGGAGGGGCGTGCCGGCCCCCTTGCCTCCTGTCTCGTTTCCCTCTGGACACAGCGTGAGGGTCAGCGCCAGGCGAGCGGTGGGGTCCCGAGGTCACTGGTAACTGGACAGCAGGCGCTTCCCGGGTATTTTTCTCAGATGTGCTCAGGAAGGAAAGCTTATAAAGGCCCTTCTTCAGATGCGGTCACAGCGGTGGAACCTCGACCCCTGCCTCTGGGGACACAGCTCAGTCCAGAGGGCGGGGAAGGCCAAGGCTGGGGATGGGGAGCCCGGCTCCCTGCGCAGCTGGGCGCCAAGGCGGAAGGAATCAAGGCTGTTTCTGGGCTGACGGGCTCCTTCACCGTCCTTGGAGCCGGGGGCCGAGGCAGGGTAGACAGGAGGCCATAGGATGAGCGGGAAGGGGAGGCGTGCAGAGCTCGGCCGGAGAGAAGGGTCACGGTGTGGCCACGGAGTCACCCCTGAGGATGGCAAGCTGGGGAAGGGGGTGACTGCCGCCCAGTGCTGGGACTGTGCCCCCAAACCCACGGCAAAGCCCCGGCCTGAGGTGACCCAGTTAAATCAGGTCACCAGGGTGGGCGCCAGTCCAGCACGACGGGGCTCCTTGAGGAAGAGATCGGGACACACATGCGGGAGGACCGTGTGGGGACCCGGGAGGAGGCGGTGTCCTCTTCCCCGGGACAGAGGCCTCAGGAGGAAGCAGCCCTGCAGCATCTCCATCTCCAACCTCCAGAGTGGGAGACAATAAATGCCCGTGCTGCTTCTTACACAGCCTGCACTGACTGAGGCAGCCAGGGAGGACCAGGTTCTGAGTCACCTTTGATTCCCCCGTCACCTGTGAGCAGGGCTCCATAAATGCCTGCTGAGCAAAATCCACTTATCCCCTTGTGATGTCACGAGTCACAAAGGTTGCTCTCAAGCTTCAGCAAAGGTCCTCAGCCCCTGCGTCCTCAGTAAGCCCGGCACCTCCTTTGTGCATCACCCACACACTGC